GAAAACTATTTAAAACGACGAACTCCATATTCAATAAATAAAACATTTTTCATCAAGGACCTTAAAAACACAATTATCAGATGGCTTTTAAGCTACAGGCACGTAACAAGTACTCTGCACCTTACAAGAAGCGACTCGCAATAGCTTCGTTTTATTTTCCTCCACGGCCCGACTTATGTATTTGTCTTTCACTATATCTTTGATACCATGTCATATTCGCGTCGTAACAAGCTTTCATGGGACTACTCAGCTCTGTCCTAGTGGTAGTTAACAGTCCTCTTGAGGATAGTCCTTTGTGTCCCTGCCCAGTTAATTTTGCGCATTATATTTTCCATTCAGAACTTCTGGCATTGAATTGATGTCTGATTTTAGTTGGCAGGTGCAACAACAAGGGCAGATAAGTTCAATATTGCTATTGAATTCGGCCGCGTTCCTCCCAACACAACAATGTATTTGGCATCTCAACGTGTGTCAGCAATGGAAGTTGCCAGTGGTACTCAGACGAACATGATGAATGGAAATACCGATCCTTCAATAATGGGGGGAACTGCTAACCCGTCTAGTTGGATTGAAGCATGTTTCAAGGTGTACGGAGATGGGAGTACTAGCGGCGGACCCTCTTCAAAATTTGTTGTCGATTTCCACGAATGTGAGCGTTTGTCGGAAAATGTCTTCTTCGCAGAGGGCCGGGATTCTTCAAAAAATACCGTTGTCTTCTCGGTAAGTTTTTCATCATGGTTCCTTAATTTTTGTCGTGCGTAGGTCAATGATTAATTTTTATTACGTCATTCTACTTGCGCAAAGCATTATTGCAGCCGTATAGTTATCATGTTGCATTTTCTTCCCCGTAGTCCTACCGGAAGCAGGAGCATAGTGCTGTTTTCCTTTTAAACTTTCTAACTTTCAAAGCCTACACCCGGAATCGTCGTGCACACTTTCTCAAGGGTTACCCGCCATGCTGCTAAACATGAACCAGAAAACGCTTACAACATTAGTCGTTCTAGTAATTTCGTTGGGAGTGGGTTATCTTTACAATATACCTCCTGACAAAGGCAATACTTGTTTACAAAGTTTACAAACTGAACGAAAACGAATTAATTTACTGGAAGACAAACACTTTACTCTTAGCACAGACGACACTTTATTGTAGTTATTCTGACTTTAAGCTGGTGGACTGA